ATCATAGGTCCGTTCCGCCTCCGCATACGCAGTCTGAGCTGCAGTAAGGCACTGAGAAATGTCACCAAAAATTGTCCAGTTCCACTGCTTCAAAACGCGGTGGAGTCTCTTGAGCTTCTCCTCCAGGTTGCGCATCTCATAGAGGTGCGTAGCCTGCTGCCAGGAGGCTCTAACAGTATCGTAGTAAGAATGGTGGCGGACCCACATGTTCTGGAAACGAAAGGACGCTCGCCGAGGAGAAATAGAGAACCGACAACAAATCAGAAGGGGGGCATGGTCGGATCCAATTCGAGGAAGGTGCGTTACAACCGTGGTCGCAAATACCCTCAACCACGCCTCTGAGTAGAGAGTGCGGTCGAGCCTCTCCTTGACTCTGGCCCTCTCCCACGTAAAGGGAGCCCCTTCGTAACCAGCGTCGATGAGCTCACAATTTGATACAGCATGCGAGAAATCTAAGATCTCCGCAGAGTGGTCCGATAAACCTCCAATGCGTTCATCGGGATGCAAGAATATGTTGAAATCACCGCTAATCATCCACGGTAATCCCTCCATACTCTCAGCAATCTCACGCATGGTGTCCAGAGGTCGCTAGCGTAAACCAATGTGTGGAAGATCGGCTCCGGAAGATGGGCGGCGGTGAGCTTCACGTGCAAGACTTGGTCAGTATCTCGAAGGATCTGACAAGTAAAGTCACGCGATTGGAAAAACCAAATATTGGTAGAGGTGTTTCCCATCCCGGCATGAAAACCAAGGCAGCACGAATATACATCAAAAGAAGGGTCACGAGTCATAGGCTCTAAGAAAGCCGCAAAGTCAAGGTTATGCTCACAAATGAGAGACCTAACATGAGCAAGGATGGTCCTATTAGCCAGACCACGGGCATTCCTGTAAGCGATGTAACTGACATGTCAAACGTCAGTGGGACCGCCTAATTGGAGCTGTACGTGGTTAGGTTGTGTCTGTATGTCTGGTAAGGTTAGAGCTCGGCTAGCAGAGAGCTGTGCTGTCATCGATCTGGTTTGTGGTCTCTGGTGCTCTGGTGTCTCATGTAAAGGTCCCCTCGTATAAGGGGGAACTCCTGGGGTAAGAGGATGAGCTGTAGGTGCTCCAACCCTCAGAGCTCTGCGCCTGGCCCTGTGGTGAAGACGGGCCAGACCCGCTAGCGGGGGATGAGGGGGAAGTGGAAAGGAGGATCAGAAGGGGTCGAGCTGGAGGGTAAAGGAGTGAGGTAAGGTGGGGGGAGGGCTCTACGATCATGAGATCTGAAGAGGAAAGGGGGGCCTCAATACACAATGGGATGGCGGGAGACTCTATCTCATCCACTAATAGATCATCATCAGCAATAGGAGAGCTAGTCGATGCTCCCAGATGGTCGGAGAAGATGTGAAACTCCTCCTCTGACTCCGAGTCAAGCACAGAGAAGCGGGAGTGGGTAGCTATGGAGCTTACTGGAGGCACTGGAGGGGAAAAAGTCCTGTAGCTTTGGCCTTAGGCCTATCGAGGTTAACCTCCTTGGGCAGTGTGCCCTCAGAGGTGGCCTTGCTCTTGTCCTTAAGCCCCTTCGGGCCGGGACCGTGGGCCGGGGCCTTGCCCTTCTCCTTGGGGCTCATCCGGGCGATAGAAGAACCCTGCCTCGCTACATGTCGACGGGTGGGCCGGGCAGGTCGTGGCTTGTTGCCCTTAGTATAGCATTCTGCAGCCCCATGTCCTACATGATTGCATAGGGAGCAGAACGGTGGAACTCTCTCGTAGACCACTTTCTGGATAGTGGTCTTGCCCGCTTGGTCGAGCTCAATCTCCTTGATGAGCTCGTCCCTAAGATCAACCTCTACGCACACCCGTGCGATAGATAACCTCGAGCGGTTTGCCGTAGCGGCATCAGTCTCAATGGGGTTGCCAATGCAGCTGGCAATCGAAAAGAGGGCAGAAGGGTCGAAAAGGTGTGGTAAGAGGCCCGAAAAGCAGCACCACACCTGGACTATGGGAGATTCATCAACAAAGGAGAAATCCGGGGTGTATTTAAACACTCGACCAGCACATCCAAAGATATTGAGATGCGTTTTAATCCAAACCGAGTTGTAGTCCTCTTTCAACTCAAAATAAAGTAAATAATGATTATAATTTAGGAACTTAGGGGTTACTCTACCTTTGAAACCCAGTGTTGATCAAACCGACATATAGATCCCGGAGGGAAGGGACAGTGAAGGAAAACTTCAAAATGAGAGCATTATCAAACGGCTCAGCTAGGGATAACAATGGGCTCGAGGAAACTTACCTTGAACCTGCCCTCCCCGGAGCGAGTGACAGTCCCGCTCTGTTTGTCTCGAAAGGACTCCAACATCAATCTCTGGTTGCCCGGTTTGGCAGTGTGGGTGTCCGATACTGCATCTCGAAAAGAGCGAGCTTCAGTTGGGCGGGATCCTTGGTTCACCATCTGGGGAGTTGGAGTGACCGTGCGCGCCCTTTGGGCGGGGGAGGGGCCGCGGCCTAAGGTGCCTGCCGGTGTGCCATTGTCGGTGCTGCTCGGGTTGGCGAACCTGTGTTCAGCTGGGGGTTTACCGGGCTGGGAGGATTCCGACAGAGAGCTGGTCGGTGGGTTAGGTGGTGGGTCCACGAGAGATAGCAACGTCGAGATAGGGGTCTTTCCCGATTGGGGGTTCACGGCGCCGGTGCAGGGGTCAGGGGGTAGTCCGTCGGTCAGTAGAGATAGGGCTGAGAAGGTGGTCTCTGTCATTTGGTTTGGTGCTGAAGGGGGACGTATGGCTTGGTGCAGAGGTGCTTGTGGTATGGGCCTATTGAGGGAGGGAGAAAGAGAGTCTGTTGGGTTGATTAGTTTTTGTTGTTTTGGGCCTTATGTAAAAGGCCTGGTCAAGGGTTGGGTAGTATTGTGGTGGGTTGGTGAATTGGGTAGAAAAGATGATTGGGCTAAAATCAGCCCACAAAGAGAGGAAAGAGGTTCAAAGTTGGGCCTAGGCAAAGGCCCATTTTGAGCTGAGGGGAAACTCAATGACAGTAGGGTAGGATTTGAGCTGCAAGCTTCTTGCGCCGCAAGAGAGTTTTCTGTCGGGACAAAGAGGGTGTTCGCCGGGAGAGAGCCAAAACGGGCCGGCCGAGGATGATTTCCAACAGCTTGTGGGACACCGGAGTCGACAGTGGCAACACTTTCCTTGAAATCGACATCTGCTAATTGGGAAGGGCTTGCATTAGTTGGGGAAACGCCAGTGCGTCGAGGGTGAAGGAAACGGTCCGTCGGAGCAATTGCAGTTTTGAAGACCTTTTTAGGCTGTTGGTCCATGTGGTGAATTTGCTATGGAAATCACAGGCGAAAGGAGAACCAGTCGGAGGCGCCGATAGGGTCGAGATCTGGGATCTGGGAAATGAATCCATGAAAAACTGAGGTGAAGTTGGCAGGAGGAAGAAAGGCAGGCGGACCACCCGGAACCGGGCGGCTCGCCGCCGACAACGACGGACGCCGGCCGGGTCTAGCTGGTAATTGTGGCCGGAGAAAAGGAGGGGATGGGTATGGGAAATAGTAAGGATAAGGATGCTAGAGAGAGAAGGCTAGAGAGAGAAAGCTAGAGAGATGTGAGAGCATTTTTGTTGTTCACCTTGGTTTTATTATGAAATCATATCATTTACTTAAATGGCTAGATTTAATTCAAATACATTAATCAATAAAATTTTAAGTTTATTTTTGAGTTTTATTCTACAGTTGTTAGCGGGTTTCTTGGCGAGTTTTTGACCTGACCACCCATTTTATTCTCCTGTTTGGAGCTTTGTATTTTTATTCGCACATTTTTGCGCTTTTGATTTATAATGGTACCTCTATTGTTCTGAAAAAAAAAAAAAAAATTAAGAAAATAAAATCTTCGTCTACAAAACGACGACATGCTGGTAACTATATTGCTTATTTAATCTCCCAATCATTGTGTAGGTTAGTCAGTTTTTCTTGTATATTGGTTGTTAGCCGCTTTAAAACAAATAATAAATTATGTCAATTGCATTTCTTTCTTATGGAGTAATGAAATGTGTGGATCTATTAAGTTTGTTTTTCCAACCATCTACAAATTTGTCAATATCTTACTTATGGTCTTGTAGGTGATTGACATAATACAAAAAATAATACAAAAAATAAAAAAACTTATAAAACACAATTTTATAATATAATATGCAGCACAAATTTTATGCAACCGATTTATAGTCATGTCAACAAAACATCGGATATAAAAGTTGTGTTTGGTAAACAATTTTTTCTTTACCTTTAAATTTAACCCAGCCTCAATATTTTCGATATTATTAATTTAATTAAATAACATTAATTAATTATTCTTACACATTACAACAACTTTAATCCACTATTCATCCACTCCCATAAATTTTGACTAACAATCACTTTTAATAATTTTTCTTCCCCTTTTACATAAAATCAACTTTAAACATTTTATTTCAAATAGTATTTTAATCTTAATTGAAATTTTCACTAACGACTAACTATAACACATTTTTTAAAATTAACCATGGTTAGAAAAAACCAATCAAATCTAATCAATCAAATCTATATCCAATCACACCCTAAATATATGAATTTTCAACCAAAATGGCAATCAATTAATTAGTTAATTTTAAATAGCATAATGCCATTTTTAATGGATATCAATGACTTATAAAACTCTACTAACGCTACTTTTAATGTTTTACTATGATGTATATTCGGGATGTCATTTGAGATTTACATTATCCTTTTTTCGATAAGATTAAATCCTAGATATTTATGGCCCTTCTTGGATATTAGGTTAGACTTGTATAATAGGTACACTTTGTAACCGTTGAATGTAAGAAGTCAATTTTTACGCTTCTCGTTTTTCATATGATATCAGAGCTATATATTAAAAATACAAAACTCTCTCCGCCGTTACACTATTAGCCTTTGCCATGGCTAACCAGATCAAGGTGCCGCCAATCGTCTCCTCGTTGTAATTTACTCGTCCTATAGCACGGGAATGCCACAGACAAAAGTTATTCTCACCGGCGAGAAATACTCGACGTGGGACAAGGCTGTGAGGCGTGCTCTAGAAGCAAAGAACAAAGCAGGCTTCGTGGATGGCTCCATACACAAATCGGTCAGTTACCATTCCGTCCATCATTGGTGGAAGATGGGGAACAACTTGGTTGCATCTTGGATTCCTAATTCTCTTGAGAAATCGCTGTTGCACAGCGTCGTATATGCGACATATGCTCGGGAATGTGGGACGAATTTAATTAAGGAGCATTTTTCACAAGAAAACATACCACACATTCATCAATTGAAGGTGAAGATTAGTCTTCTTCGATAAAATGGTCAGGCTGTGATCAAATATTTCACGAAATTGAAGGGCATTTGGGACGTATTCGCCAACTACAAAGATGTGGTCGTGTGCACCTATGTCGGGTGTACTTGTGGTGTGACCACGAGGCTCGCGGCTAAACGGAAGACCGAGATGATGCACCGATTTCTCATGGGGCTCAATGCGGAGTCCTATGGTGTCGTTCGTTCATAAATTCTTAGTATGAAGTGCCTCCCTTCCATCAACAAGAGGTATATATATGATAATCCAGGAAGAACGCCAATGATCTGTGATTCGAGACCGGGAAGCGCCCAAGAATCACGTTATCGCTCTCGCTGTAGAAAGGAGACGCCCCTCGCTATGTTTGTGATCATTATGGAATGAAAAGACACTCGAAGGCGCGCTGCTACGAACTGATCGGGTACCCTGAAAATTAGGATCACAGTAAAAATAGCTCGGGATGTATAGGGGGCAACCGGAATTGTGGACAGAAGATAATGAGTCAGATCAATACTTGCGTAGAAGCCACTACTCACTCAGCCCAGACCGGTCTACCTAGTGGCGGTTCGACCACTGGAAGACTTCACACCCTCACGGGCGTAGAGTAAAATCAACTGCTCAACTTATGGGCTCGGTAAAGGCCTCGTCGGGTAATGAACCGCTCGAAGGTAATATTTCAATAATTTATCGTTCGTGGATTTTTGATTCCGGAGCCTCAGAACACATGACTGGGTACTTGTGTCTTTTGTCGAACCATGTGTCTATAAGACCATGTCCTATTACGATGGCTGATGGGGCAGTCTCTCATGCCACTATCCGTGGGACCGTAACATTTGGCTTTAATTTTGTCTTGCGAAACATTTTATATATCCTCATTTGACTTGTGTTTTTCGTCGAACCATGTGCCTATATGAAGACCATGTCCTATTACGACGGTTGATGGGGCGTTCTCCCATGCCACTATCCATGGGACCGTAACATTTTGACTTAATTTTGTCTTACGTAACATTTTATACATCCTCAATTTTGCTTGCAATCCAACTTTTATTGACAAAGTTATGACTGACTTAAATTGTTATGTGACTTGTTGCTCGTCTCTGTGCTTTTTGCAGGACCTCACCTCAAAGACGTTGATTGGAGCAGGTAATCTACAAGGGGGGGGGGGGTCTATCACATTGAGCAGATGAATACGTTTGCAACAACTACCGTGTCTATAGCCCACAACAAAATGGGCGTGTCGAATGTAAACATCGCCACATCCTTAATGTGGCACGTGCCCTAAGTTTTCAGCAAACTACCAATAAAAATTTAGGGTGAATGTGTTCTTACAGCCACATTTATCATTAATCATACCCCAACACCACTTTTATCGGATAAGTCCTCACTTGGGATTCTTCATGAAAAATTGGTCCCATGTGATAATCTTGTATCTTTGGGTGTTCGTCATATGCAAACATTTTCCCAAGCTCTTCCGATAAATATGCATCTAGGTCCCATCGATGTGTATTTCATGGTTTTCCTCATGCTATAAAAGGTTGGAAACTTTATGATTGTATACATATGACATTTTCACGGGACGCAATTGTACCTCAAACTTATCACAACCCAATTCCACCATTATGGACAACCCACTGGGCTTGGTCATCCTGACTGATCCTCCAAAGACCCACAACCCTTCTAACACTGGACACTCTTCTGAGCCACATAAATCCTGGCCAATCATGTCTTACCCGTCTGATATGAACACGACGGTGCCCATTCTTGCACAAAGGCTTCTCCCGATTCGACTGAGCCCACCACTCAAACGACCATGGTCACCAGAGCCTCAGATGAGCTCTCTACTCTAACGGTCGTGGCTCCCACTGCTCCTCTTGAGCTGCATCATCCGCAATGACCACCTTGGCCACTTCTCCAGTCTGCCTGCCTTAATGATTACCATTGTTACTCGGCTATGCCGACCCTTCTTTTCTCGTACCCGCTTCATCGACTTCTTCAGGTAGGGTGTACCCACTCGAGCGTTTTCTCAATTATAATGGTTTCTCTTAGTCTCACTTGGTCTTCCTAGTTTTACTTGATTATGAGGTTGAGCCTTGGTCCTACTGAGCCAATGTTAAGGATATTCTCTGGCGTGATGCGATGAATGTCGAAATTTGTGCTCTTGAAGAAAAGAGCACCTGGATTATCGAACCTCTCTCTCTCTCTCTCTCTCTCTCTCTCTCTCTCTCTCTCTCTCTCTCGACAAGAAACCCATTGGTTATAAGTGGGTGTACAAGATCAATCGATACTCTAATGGTAGCATTTAGTGCTTAAAGGCCCGATTGGTGGCTAGGGGTTTTACACAAATCTTGGGCTTCAAATTTTATGAGACTTTTGCCCCTGTGGCAAAATGGCGACCGTTTTGTGTCTCCTCACATTCGTTTTGGCCAAGAACAGGAGTCTTCACCAAATGGGTATGAACAACGCCTTCCCTCACGGTGATTTAGAGGGAGATATCTACATGCGACTTTCTCAGAATCGACCTCCAAGCCCCAGCCAAACCGCCATCGCCAAACAAGTTCGAGCACCGAGCACCCCTCCCAGCCCCTGAAAACGAACCCCAGTCCATCACTGCCATACCAGATAACCAACGAGCCGAGAAACGGGAATCAACCGCTGCCAATCCATAGAAGCAGAAAAAGGGTCGTCGGCAGGGATTGAAAAAAAGGACTCACCCGAAAAAGACGACGCGATCAACATGGGTTTGTGCCGCGTCCAGCCACTGTCTCTACGCTCCACTCAGACTCGCCATACTGGGACTCTGGCGACCTTCAAGCACAACTCGAAGAGTTCCGCCGAAAACTTCCATCCTCAACCGCCGGCGCATGAGACGTAGGGAGAGAGCTCGGAGCAATAGCTTGGACGGGCGACGGAGAGCTGTCCTCCGGTAGCCAATTGCCCGCTGGGAGAGGCGAAAATCTCTGACAAGGGTTAGGGTACGATGGAAGAGAAAATAGGGAAATCGCCTAAGAAGAGAGGAGAGTTAATGTGGTATATATTCACTTGCTACATGTTTTTTTTTTTTTCGATAAGATCAAATCTTAATTATATTTTGGTATTTCTTGGATATTAGGTTAGTCTTGTATAGTGATAGATTCTTGGAGAGGAAGATACTCTTGTATTATATATACCCACACTTTGTAACTCTTGAAAGAAAGAAATCAATTTACACAACTCTCGTTTTTCATATAATGTAGTAACTAGTACAACGTCTGTGTATTACACGGATGCTTGTTAAAAAAATTTCTTAAAATATAAAATTAATAAGAATAATTAGTTGAAAATTTAAATACTTTGTATATATATATATATTATTTTAGTATGACACTTGTTACTTGTGTGATTTACTTATGTGTTATATTATAATAATTTTCTAATTAATTGAGAAATAATTTTATTTTTTAATTACTTTAAATAAAAAAATTTATTATTGTAAAGATAAATATAAAATTTATTTTATATATACAATATAATGTCAAATCGAAGCTCGTCAAAATATGATTAATTTGATACATTATATATGTAAAATCGATAAGAAATACAAAAGGTATCAACTTTTAAAATACATTTAAAATTCAATAGTTATAATAGGAAATGATATTAAAATACTATTAATACATCTAAATTGATCATAAATAAATCAATATATTTATGGTAATCCAAACCTAATTAGTTTTGGATTGGAATTAAATTAAAATTTATTCAAGCCAAATAACAAAGTATAGAATTTTGACACCTAAAATTCCGAAACATGCGAGCCTGACATTTAGGCTCAACACTTTTAAAATTTATATATAAGGGATACTAATACCTTTTAGTCATACTTATGTACTAGTGCATACCCCGTGCGATGCACGTGATACATATAATAAATCAATTATTTCTATAGGACTTGTACGTCTAGACAAAAAAACAATAGGATTGGATCATCCATATTTCACATCTTTTAATAAGTGGCGTTTATTTAAGCAAAAAAAAAAAACAGGTTAATTAATATATAATTCCGCTAACACGTCATACTAATATTTATTTGATTTAGAATACATATTCATTGATATAAGAAAAAATAAAATTTTATTAATTATTGTTCACCATATAATACTCAATTATTATTTTATTATAAAATTTACAGTCATATAATGCAATTATTATTATTTATAAAAGTTATAGAAGTAGTCTTCTTTATGTAATGATATTCAAAATAAAATTTTGAGTATAAATGTTTACAAAATACACACACATGTTTTTTAGAATTCAATTTTCTCATAATAATTCTTTTTTTTTAAATGATTTAGCAATTGCCAAAAAATAAATCTCTTACATAATCAAGAGATTTCTTCTAATTTTCATCCTAAGGATTTATAGTTTATTTAACATACTATGCAATAGAAAAATATTTTACAATAAGTTCATTTTTGAAACATAACAAAAAAAAAGTGATAAAAACACTATCATAGTTGACAATAATATACAAATAAATAACATGTCGAAATTTTAAAGAATAACTAATATAATTTTATTATCTAACCATCAATAAAATTATTTAATGATGTGATCATTATCTTAATAAATAATATTAATTTTTTAAAGAATATTAGTGTTATATAATTAAATAAAGGTTAAAAAATATTACTCGACAAATATTAATTATAATGGATATCAATAAAATCATTGCACAAATTATTTAAGGAAAAAATATTTAAGATCATATTTGGATAATAAATGTAAATATGCAAGCATTTAATGCATATAGTAAAAAATTTCCAAATAAAGTATGCATTAAATGTATGTTGACTTTTCTTGCTACTGTTTTTGCTAAATAGGTTGGCTTTTAATATATATATAGATATGTATATTCATGACGTGTGGGACGACGAAATATATAAGCATATAACCTAATTAAATTGCCACCTAGGACAAGACACCTCAACTCTCTTGTATAATTTCCCACTAATACACAACCCTTGTTAATCGATCAGCGGATAGCAGATTGTATCAGCGGACACTACAACATAAATAGCTTTAGATAGCACCATAAAAGTGATACATAAAAGCTATAAAATATTACTATAGGTAATAGGTAACACCAATTTTGGTGTTACAGTTGCTCGTGCTACCTAAATTCAAAGGTAATACTTTTAGTAACATTTAATAACACTTATATTACGTGTTGCATT